CAAACGTTTGTGCACGACCCATTGCGGACTCCCCAAATGCTTGCTTTAGCATTTCATAGGTTTCCGTAGCCGTTTTGGCGAGTCTTTGGCAAAATTTGATGCACACGCCATTCCGAAATCGCAGGAGGGTCGGTGTAATGCACTACCAAAACGCCCGTAACTAAGAAACAAATGATAATTCGATGATGCCGGCTGGCACACTGATTCACTATGAATGTAGGCCGCACCCCCTAGCGGCAGAAGCTCGTACTAGATCCGGTTCGCCCTCTATTGACACAGTCTTGAAACTTTCCGATCGCACCTCGTATGCAATCAATTACTGACTTTGTTCCTTTAACAGACCATGACACTGTTTGTAGTTTTATCCATATATATATATATACAAGAGGTGTGTTCAAAAAAAGACCGAAATTTGTAAATAGTGTGCCAACCGGGACAGAGAGTGTGCTGCGGCTACTGAGCGCACCTAGCGGCAGTTTTTGACGACAAAGTGCCATTTGCTACATCCGCTGAACTGAGCACGTGCACAAGCTGTTTGTCGGATTAGTGACAAAGTGACAATGAAAGGGCTTGAAGAACAGCTTGTGTGTGTGTGAAATTTTGCTGCAAACTTGGTAAAAATTTTACAGAGATATTTCAATTGCTTAACCGAGCATACGGGGAGGACTGTATGAGCTGAACGCAGTGCTATGAGTGGTTTAAACGTTTTAAAGAGGGCAAAACATAGGTCAGTGAAGATCCCAGGCCTGGACGACCTTCCACATCAACAGACGACGACTATGTCGTCAGAGTTCGTGCTGTGATTTGTGGAAATCGTCGTTTAACTATCCGAGAAGTTGCTGACGAAGTGAGCATCAGCATAGGATCTTGCCATCAAATTTTGACTGAAAAACTTCAGTGCAAAATTTGTGCCGCTTTTGTTGACTGGCGCTCAGAAAGAGAACCGTGTTGAAATCAGTCAGGAACTGGTTGTCAATGCAAATGGTAATGAAAACTTTCTTAAGAACATCACACATAACAGGAGATGAGACATGGGTTTATGGCTATGATGTTGAAACCAAGATGCAATCTTCGCAGTGGATGGGGAAATGGTCTCCTCGACCAAAAAAAGCACGGATGAGTCGGTCAAATGTCAAGGTGATGTTGGTTGTGTTTTTTGATTGGAAAGGCATTGTCCATCATGAATTTGTACCACGTGGTCAGATGGTAAACAAACAGTTCTACCAGGAAGTTTTAGCGCATTTGAGGGATGCTTTGCGCAGGAAGAGGCCTGAATTGTGGGAAAACCAGACTTGGATGTTGCACCACGACAATGCGTCAGCTCACGGGTCGCTCCTCATCGGCAGTTATCTGGCAAAACATCAGACAACCATTGTGCCCCTTCCACCCTATTCTTCGGACTTGGCCCCAGCAGACTTTTTCCTGTTTCCCAAACTTAAAAGCACTTTGAAAGGATGTCGTTTCCAAACCATAGAGGAGATTCAGGAAAATGCGATAAGAGTACTGTGCGCCATCACAGAAAGTGTGTTCCAGGAAGCATTCCGACAATGGAAGAAACGTTGGGAATGGTGTGTCACCAGTAGGGGGGACTACTTTGAAGGGGACAGAGCTTAAAATGTAAAATTAGCATTAAAGTCTTCATAGCAAGAGTTCAGTTTTTTTAACTCACCTCATATAATGAGTGTTTGAACATCAGCATCTGTTCAGAGGCAGTATATAGACCACAGTAAAATACGAGGCTCGTCCACAAAGTTAGTTTCCCTGGGGCCGTTTACAGAAACAAAACACAATTTCTTGGAAATATTTATTGCAACAGATACAGCAAGTGTCCAGCTATTTTTCAACATATTCGCCACCGGAATTGAGACATTGGTCATACCGTGGGACCAACTTTTGAATACCTGTGTCGTAGAAGTCTGCCGCCTGGGATTGGAACCACTGTGTGACAACCATCTCCGCCTCTCTGTCATTCTCAAAACGCTGACCGGACAGGAATTTCTTGAAGTGTAGGAAAAGATGGAAATCACTGGGAACGAGGTCCGGGCTGTAGGGTGAATGATCAAACACCTCCCAGCTGAACTCCTGCAGGAGACTTGCTGTCCGTCGAGCCGTGTGCGGCCTAGCGTTATCACTGACCGCACTTCACAGTCGGCGGGAGCTGGAATAAGAACCGCCATCTTCAACAGCTGCAACGATGCTACTGTGAGAACGCAGGAAGTGCCGTTAGTGCATGAGCCATGCTACGTCATTGCTCTATCACGTATGCACAGTCGCTTCGCACAATATAAGGTTTCCTAGCTGTGGGACGAGTGGGAAATGTACTTTGTGGATGCTACATCTTGATATTATTTTTTTAAAAAATGAAGTTAATTTAAATGGTTCTGTTTTGTTTCAGTTCAAAGACACTCTGAAGCTGGAGGAAGACATTCCTCATGTGAGAGAAGCTGCCAAAGTAAAGTAAGTCTAACATAAAATCAAATTCTGTTTAATAAAGCTCTTGTTACGGAGTTTTCTTTTGTATCCATCGCTTTGTGTTGTAGTTTAAATGATAAATGACGTACCTCGGAAAACAGAGCTACTGAAAAAATGCCATAACAACTGTGTGACCATTCACTTATTATTATTATTAAGTGTTCTGTCTTACGACAGGTCCATTGCTCTGCCCAAAAAGAGCTCTCCAGTTGTCCCTATTCTCGGCTTCTCGCTTTAATTCCTGGAACGTCATCTTCTTTCCTTGTTTAAGGTCGTCGGTTAGCTGTATCAATCTTCTTCCTAGTCCTCTCTTTCCTTCAACCTGGCCTTAGGTACTAATAGTTGCAGATTTTAGTAACTGCTGCACAAAATATCGGAATTGGATGGTAACTGAATTCTCATTGCCAGAAGGTCTTCGTTGCAAGTATTTGTTTTATCTGGTTACAACAGTGTTGAGGTGAAAGTTTTCCGGTGACAGGTCTTGATAGTTGGTTCATCGTCTTCACCGTCTACGTCCAGACATTCTCTCATCCTCATCCATAAAGCCGGTGGGTTTGACTCGTGTATTTCTCTGAAACTGCCATCCCCTGTGTACTCGGAGGAGTCATTGACTGAATTATCTGCCACACGTCCCCAAGTCCGGAGTCAACCAGTTGGCTGGTCACGGCTGATGAAACTAATCTTTTTGCACGCCCGTTAGCTACCTGCGCGTTTGACACTTACAGCCTCCTGTCACACTTAGCCAAAAGTTGTTATAACAGCTCTCGCTGCACTGAAGCCGCTTCTCGTACGCGAGATCTCGCTACCCCCACTCAGGCCCAATTAAGCTGAGACTTTCTTTCCAAACAGAATTTTACTTCGTGCATTCTGTTACGTGCCGCCCAGGGCACGAGGCCCGCAGATTGGGGAGTCAGTGATCAAACACCAGTCGTCCTCGTGCTTTCTTTTTTTTTCTGTACGCGGTCAGTTTGTTTAATTTTCTATTTTTACTCCGCAGTAGTAGCGCCTGGTTTTCTACTTCCCTGCTGCAGGCAGTGATTACTGATTACTTTCAGAGCAAATAATAGAGCGTGCAGAAGGGTACAGTCACATTCATTCTGTATAGACCTGCTTCAGTCCTTGAACCAGTGAGGACTTCACGTCATCAATAACTAGTTTGAAAAGCCCGTTTGAAATTCAGCGGGGGCCGAGTTATTTCCTCATCAACTTTCTCCTTTCCTTTATCCCTTTTGTACTTTTAACCACTCACATCTTTTCTCTCGTGTTTCCTTCTCATTCCGTTTACATCTCAAGAGACATACGCCTAAATATGAAGAAATACCACCCGCACTACGTCTTTTACTACTAGCGACCGAAACGTCTTCACGCTCATTTTATCCTTATCAGAAGGACGAGCGGGCACTGCCTGGGGGCACGAAAGAGAGAGAAACGAGAAGCGTGAAGGTTTCGTGATCGGCGACTGAACTTCCCACGTGCTAATGCGATCACGAAGAAGGGACTCGTGTGTTCGACGGAATACCCACTATAGCCTCTTAAATAAGGCTCAAGTTCCTCCTCTCACTTTGTTTCCACTACCTTGTCAAAACATCTCAACTCAAACAGTATTAGAATATTACTAAGATCATTAGTAACTCAGTTTTAGGTCACTGCCGAGAGGTTTAGAAGCATTACACTAAACTTTTAACTAAATCTAGTTCTTTGCTTTGTAATACAGGAATTTAATCGCCTGTTCTTCTAAATACAATGTTCTTTCGCAGAGTTGAATAACTGTCTGCTAATCAAATAAGACTGCTGATGTAAACAGTTTTCTGGATATTGTCCATCGCCCAGTACTAAATGAAATCAATAAAAACCACGACATTTCAGAGATTGGACTCTATCTCCGAAACGTCGTGGGTTTTTATTGATTTTATTTAGTGTTGGATGATGGTTAATATCCAGAAAACTGTTTACTTCAACAACGCACCATCATCACAAACGTTTAGAATTGAAATAAGACTGTACCAAACAATTATTGAAATGTGAGTAATTAAGAGCTAGTTACGTACAACCAAAACTGTGGCTTTTCAGTTACAGCGAGACCAAACTAAATATAAGTACAGTACAACCCCGCAATAACGCGGGTCGCGGGGGACGGGTAAACCCGCGTTATAGAGAAACAGCGTTATTATGGGAGTGTATCGGAAAATTCGGTACAAGTACTGGACGTACTGTACAGTACGTACAGTATTGATAGACTATCGCCATTTAAGAGTATACATACTTATTTGACTATGTTACGATTGATTTTTACGGAAAAAGTAATAAATAATTAATTTGGCTTGCATTTTAATATACTGTACTAAAATATATTATACTACTGTACTGTATTTTTTATTTACAAACAAACACTATGTACACGCTATTTATACTCTATTACATACTTTTTATATATCAAAATTTAGGTGTAAATTTAGCAATAAACTATTTTTGCCAACCAGTATTTCCAGGAACTACCCAAAACGATGGCTATTGTAAAATAAACATCTGTTAGACCTAATCAGTTCAGTACACTTCCCTACGTTATGAGTCAGTACAACGTACGAGGTGCGATCAGAAAGTTTCCAGACTGTATCAATAGAGGGCGAACCGTACGAGCTTCTGCCGCTAAGGGGTTGGGCCTAAATTCGTAGTGAATCAGTGTGCCAGCCGGCATCATCGAATTAGCATTTGTTTCTTAGTTATGGGCGTTTTGGTAGTGCATTACACCGACCCTCCTGCGATTTCGGAATGGCGTGTGCATAAAATTTTGCCAAAGACTCGCCAAAACGGCTACGGAAACCTATGAAATGCTAAAGCAAGCATTTGGGGAGTCCGCAATGGGTCGTGCACAAACTTTTGTGTGGCATTCACGTTTTAAAAATGGCCGATCCTCTGTCGATGATGACGAGCGTTCTGGACGACCATCTTCGAGCACAACGCCCGAAAATGTTACCAAGATTCGGCAGGCCATTCACGAAGATCGACGTCGTACCATCAACGACTTGTGCGACATTGCTGGGATAGGCTATGGGACCTGTCAGCTGATTCTAAAGGAAGAACTCCACAGGCGACGCATCCTGTCTGAGGACCAGAAGCAGAATCGACTTCTCGTTTGTCAGGAACTCAAAGATCTTGCAAGAACCGACCCCAACTTCCTTTCTAAGCCCCGTGTGACTTCTTCCTCTTCCCAAAGATGAAAATTCAGCTAAAGGGAAGGAGATTTGAGACGATAGAAGAGATTCAGGCAGAATCGCAGATGGTGCTTGACAGGCTGACAAAGAAAGATTTCCAGGGATGCTTCCAGGCTTGGCAGCGGCGCTGGGATCGTTGTGTTCACTCCCAGGGGAACTACTTCGAGGGTGATTGATGAATTTAATACCTGAGATAAATGTACGGGTTTTTATAGGCGCAGTCTGGAAACTTTCTGATCGCACCTCGTATGGTATATAAATAAAGGCTTCTGAATAAAAGTACAGTATGCACACAAATTATCGCTGCTTCGTAGGTAATGTAACAGTACATGTAAAGAAATGAATCTTGAGTTCTGTGTGAAGGATAATTGACGCACTTTCTTCATTCTTTTTTTCTTTCTTTCTGCACAATGGGGGACATGAGGTACCTGCTTTATATTCGGAACCGCATTGTAGCGGGGTTGTACTGTATTCGTATGTGTTCATTTAGTCCAGTGAGACGTAGACGCATGTATTCTAAATAAAAGGGCACGAGGTGCTTTCTGAACAGAATTCAGTCGAATGAATGTAAACAGTGTTGCACAGTGCAAGCTGCATTGCATTTGTAAACAACTGTCCTCGTTCCCAGTGGCATGCAAACTTCGGAGTCTCTCACTGAAACTGCGTTTATACTTCGTGAGATTTGAGGTCCTTATGATGGCATGTATTAAGATGACCTTATGGGTTGTTGTTCCACGTAGCCTGATAGGTGTTTGCCAGTGTTTCATAGGTGCTTGCTGCCTCCATCATCAGGGTGGTGATGATGGAAGTAGCAAACACCTCCAAAATGTTGGTAAACTTCTACCAGACTACGTGGGACAACACCTCAGAAGACGGTTGTCGTCTTGTGATTGTATTGTTACATGGTAATTCATTCTGTAAGAAATTAACCTTTCCATTTGATTCAGTAAACTAAGCTACTCTGTCACAGACAAAACAAGTCACATGGTACGGAAATCCTACGCTTTTTGAGAATAATTTGTGTTTTAACTGATGATGGATGAAGTTCAAAATAATAAAGAGTTAGTAATGTTATACCATCATCAAAGACATTCACTGATGGATAAGCGATGTGTAAAGAAATATTAAAGCTGTGTTTCAGAAACTTGTCTCTTTGGCTAAAACGTCTGTAGATGTTATAATCGAGTGATCTGTGCAGCATGGGTGAGCTGGAGAAGGACATGGGTGTCCTGCGCAATGGGCTTAAAGAGGTGGAGCGGGAGATCGAGTTCCACCGGTCGCAGCCAGTGGCTCTGGGAGATCGGTTCCTGCCCGTGATGAAGGAATTTCTCTCGTCAGCAACGTGCCGTTTCTCTGAGCTGGAGGATCTTTTCCAGGACATGAAAACTAGGGTTGGTTGTTTATTTATCTCTTCTTCATGCTTCTTAGGATAAGTTCAAAGCTTGATATTTCTTTATCTGTTGGACAGGAATGTTTGAAGTGGGGGGGGGGGGGGGGGG